TCTAATCCAAAGGCTAATAGGTCAATATAGTTAATAAGGATTGTTATGGAGTGTAAGTGCAATTAAGGTTTAGTTATAAGCTATAACTTGGACTCCAAGTAAGGTATATAATCCGGTTATAATTGGAGAATAAGGGCTCTTGATACCATCCTATTTGGATTGAGATTTGGTAGATTATATCCTTGTACAATAAGGGATCCTGGTGTATGATTATGAGAATGTGCACTATGGTTGTAGTAGTATAAATACCAAGGGAAGGTCCCTGCATACACCACCGAAACATATACTTAGAGAACTCCCCATAGGTTTGAGTAACACGATCGTGGTGAGTGTGCAGAAGGCCCTCCTTACAGATCAAGGTGTTCAAGAATACTTGTTGCAGTTTCCAGTGCTTGCTATACTAGGATGATGTCTTCGCAAGGTTAATACATTGGTGTTTTACTTGCATGAACATTTAAGTCTAACATCATCAAGCAAAATCTTCAAAACTTGAACTTGAATTCCTACTGAAATGCACCGAGATAGTTCTTCAATGATAAAAATGTCAATCTTTCCTTATAAACCTAATGATTTCGAAGAACACAAAAAAATTTCTAAATAACTTTCATTTTCAATGAAGAAAAAAAAAACTCTTCTTCAATTGACATCTTGTACACTGTTTCGTCACGCATTCGCACTCACAAAAATTTTTTTCTCGAAGGATAATATTTTGAAGGGATATGTGCATTCTCCATTAAGGGATGCAAAAATTATCATTTCTCGAACATCTTCGAAACTTCAGTGAAGATTTAGGTTTAAATTTGGTAAAACAAGATTGTGAAAATCGTTAAACCTTAAGATATAAATTGTTCAAGAGGCTGAATAAATAATTATTGGTATATGACATTGAAGGAAAATTCTTAGCTAGCTAAGTCAATAATAATCAATAGGAGGATGGATGTCCAAATCACTATGCTAAATGTTGATGGTGAGTTCCAAAAAATGGAGATTGGATCATTAGAGGACATACTTGGAGATAGTAAAGTAGAGATTTGCTTGAATACTTTGTTCTTCAACCAAAGTTTACGTAATCAATAATTTAAATGCAGAGTTCGACAACAGTACATTGTCAAAACTTTCTCGATACAACTTTTCTGATGCCAACTATTTTTCTTTCCCTATTTAGGGTTTCTATTGTGTCCTAATTTGAATTAAAATAAAACAATCATTCGACTCATTCCTTTGTTTCGTTCATGGTTGAGAGAGGGGGCTCTGGACCATCATCAAGTTGTGTCTATCTAAAGCCCATTTTAGAAGAAAATGAAACATTCTTCAATAGAGACTTTTATTGGTAATTATCATGATGGGGATGAAAAGGATGTTGGACAAATCTAGCCATCAATTGCATTACTTTCACCTCAAGTGATGGACGTACATGAGGTGTTAAACCTCTTTCATTCACTGTAAAATATATATATATATTAATAGTTTTGATCTAGTTCATTTGAACCTTGTTGATGCACAAAATTAATAGGACTTTGGAACAATGTATAAAGTGTCAATTTGTGCATTCACAAAGTTGCTCCGATCATCTAGTAAGGATATATGTAAAGAGATAGATATAAAGAAGCAAACATAAGATATACATGGTTCAGTCTAAGTTGGGCTACGTCTATGGAGGTGGAGAAATTCTCATTAATAATGAAAAGTTTGCACAATGCAAATGTTCAAGCATAATCATCATCAGTGAGTTCTAATGACGAGCTTAAGTACAATAATTGCATTAGAGATTAATTGTAGGAGAATGGTCTCTTTTTATAGTTGAGGGGAGTCTACAGCTTCCATTCACGGTTGATGTGGGACTTTAGGAGTTTTATTCTGATGTTGACACGTGTTGGCGTTGTAATTGGCCTCTTGGTTGGAGAGAAACTCTTGTACTTTGGCAGGGATGTCTCAACATGAATCATTAATTGGGTTCTTAAAGGTATAAAGTTGATAGGTACTCGGTAGTTTCAGAATTAGTGCAGTTTGGTACCAACCAACCAGCAATGAAGTTGGTTGTAGAAAAAGATCTTAACCAGGACAATTCACCAATTGCAATTTTCGTTATACTTTCCAAGAGAGAGTTTATCTTTCACCATTAATAATCAAACAACCCTTCACCCACCCACCGGATCCTAAATCCACAGCTACCCAATTTCACTTGGCAAAATTTGGATTCTTGGAAGTCCTTTCGTTTGCTTGGCAAAAATGGGAACTCCTTACATCCAACATTGAACAAAATTCCAAACCAAAGAATTAGGGTTATTGTCTCGTGCCAGTGGTATACTGTCACTATGTTGCTCCATACCATTATACTATTGACATGAGACATCACAATAACTGTCCAGCGAAAATTACTCTTCTTCTTTGGGGTTCTTGTTGGATTCAAAATATGAGTTTTTGAATTTTTTTGCAAAAGAAAGAGGACTAGTTATCTTCTTTCTTTATGCACTCCCTAGTAGAACAACTGGTTCAGTTGTCAATACAAGCCTATATGGAGAGATTTTTTTGTGTGCCAAGAACATAGAATGATACACTACATCATTATACAAATGGAAGGACATTTGAGAAATAAAGCTTCTCTCAAACTATATAATGACATATGATATACCACTCTATGCGCATGAAAAATTTCTCCATATGGGATGAGATTCAGTAGGTGAACAGCTCAATTATTACAGTTCACCAAGAAAAGAAGTAAAAAAAAAAAAAGATCCCTTTTTCATTGAATATTTTAACCATCAAACTGAGAGTTTCTGAGAGAAAAATAAATTTGGACAATCAAATTTTTGGTAGTCAGTCACAGGCTGGGGCTCCTTGCCCCCAAGTACAGTACTGAATGAGATATTACATGTGTACTAGGATAATTAAAGTTTTAACTTGTTGAGTTTGTTAGCCAAGCTCAAAGTTCATACTGTGATTCATTAACCAAATAAATTTTGAATTGAGGAACACTCTTGAATTTCATTTAGAATGTCTTCTGCAATGCTTGTATTCATTCTTAAAATTATAATAAAATCATTATCAACGCTTGAAACAATGTCAAACCAAATGAAAACGATTAAAACAATGTCATGCCAATTGGTACTAGAATTGTAAATGCTTGTTGGTTTTTAAGTATCTATAGTATTTTTCTAAAACAAAATATTGGGGACTAATGTGTATTGCTCTGAAAAAAATTAGGATGTCAAACCATCATCTTTTGTTACTAAGATTATTTAAAAAAAAAAAACTGAGACATCTTTGGTTATGATTCAAAGGGACAATCTCTGATACATCTTTGATTACGATTCTAATGAACAATCTCAACTAAATATCAAATGTTAGAATATGCCAATGGTAAATTATGACTCATCCATTATGCAGTGTAGTTTAATTCCGCACTTGTTGTATAAAAAAGTTAGGTTAAGAAGAATGGATGGGTAAGATATGGCCACCACCACTTAAATCACTGGTCCTAACTCTTAAATAAGCTTCTTTTTCTTCTTCTTCCTACTCACTTTCCAATGAAATCTCAAAAGACCAACATCCTCTTAAGAGTTAAGATCACGTCATATTTTCCAAAAAACCACGAGCACCCAACGAGACTAAAATAAAATCAACACTAAAATGTCACATACCCCAACATAAATTAGATTTCCTGGTCCCCCCCCCCTCCCTCCTCACATCAAGAAACTAAGACCCCCATAAATAAACAAATAAATAAAATAAATAATTGATAATTTATTAAACCAAAGAGAATTAAATAATTGATAATGCTTGTCAAGCAATAAACAAACATACACATAAACCTCTCTTACCTTTAAACATGTTTATAGCCTTAGATTATTGTCTTAAAACCAACTTAATCATTCATATAACCCCATTGAGTGGACCGCAGCAAAATTTTGGGACCCATGGAGTTGATCATTTCGCACTTTTATTTACTTTCTCCGCCGTTAGATGGGTCCTAAGGAGTACCATTAAACGGCTAGGATTAAATTATTGGGTCATGTATTGATATTCAATTCAAGTTGCAGGCATAATTCATGAAGAAGCATCATCCATTTTGTCCCCAAAGGAAAAATTAATTACCAATATAAACTATTTAATAAAAGAAATGTTCTCTCAGCCGCCCATGATCAAGTGATACATACCTCACTCACCGTTAGTTTGATCTCAAGATTGGAGAATAAATAGATGTATTTTTAATTTTTCAATTTCAATTCTCGATATTAAATTCAAATCTAAATAACCATAAATCATTAGTCATTAGGAGTTATTTGGTGAGCTAGATGAGATTGAGTCTTAAAAATGAGATTGGATTGACATGGTCATGTAAGAAAAGACTTGTAACCCATGTTTAATGATAGGTTAGATAACACACTCTATTGTGGATTCATAACTCATCATATCTGATCATGTCTACCTCACATTTGACATAATAAACAAAAGACTAGACTTAAATTTATTTTAATTAGTCACGACCTATCCCGATTAGCCCACCAAATAGGCCCGAAGTGACTAAGAGAACGAGACACTTTGAAGACAAGATATTAAAAGGGAAATGTGGCCTAAAAAGAGGGATTATTGCATGGTTGGTATTGGTAAGAATGTTTACAAATTACAAGACAAATTACACATACAAGGAACCTCATCATTCCATTTATTGAAAAAAATAAACAAAACAAGAAAAATAAATCTAGGAAATACAAAAACCCACAAATTTCAATAGAGTAGAGGGGGAAATAAGGAGCCAAGTCAGTAGCTCGAGGAAGGAAATGAGGAAAGAAGAAGCCAAAGAGCACTCAAATCAAAAGAATAATATTGAAACCAAAAGAGAATTAGAAGAGGAACGAGAACAAGTAGAAACTCAGTCAATCCAGTCAAACACTTTACAAACCAATAAACTCAAATCCAAAACATTAAAAAAATAAAATATCATACAATTCCAACTAGAATTTTGTAAACATACCCACTTGCATTTGTACCCCTCCCTCTCTCTCTCTCTCTCTCTCTCTCTCTCTACCAATTTCTCTCTCTACCCCCCACCCTACATCTATAAAATTGTAAGAGAGAAAAGTAAGAAATTGGAAGGGAGCTGGCTCATGAAAATTTCATGTTCTGTTTCTTGTATAAGTATACCTCTCCTCTGCTAATTAGCTAATGACCCAAAACATCTCTCTCTCTCTCTCTCTCTCTCTCTCTCTCATTCAGAAGAAGCACACACAGACAGTCTGTTTCCTTTTTGGGTATTTTTTGAGGCTTCTATTTTGTTTTGTTTCATAAATCTTATGTCTTTATAATTAATTTTCCCACATCGTTTCATCCCATCCCATTAAACAATGAAAATGGCATATTACCATTCATCCTTTCCCCTCTATAGGAAACACCCATCATTGCTCCCAACAATCGTTTTCAACCTTAGAAACCTGAGCTGCTTCTTCTTCTCCTCCTAAAGATATTCCCTCCTCATAATCCCATTCCTCTCTCTCTCCTCTCTCTCTCTCATCCGTTTAAATAGCACCCTCTTTTTTTTTAATCCCACACAAAATATTTCAAGCTTTCTACACAAGCAAAACAAAAGATATTTGAAAAGAAATTGAAAAGGAGAGGAAGATTAAAAATGGATCCTTCGTCCACCAACTCTGTCAATGGCTTCTATTCGTTTCTGACTCGAGGGATCGACGATCTCGAAAGGGTCTATCTTTCGAACAACTTCATGTCAATCCAATTCCTCCAAAGGGCTCTTTCCCTTATTCGATCTTTCCACTCCCAGCTGACCCTTCTCGTCCAGAAGCTCCACTTGCCCGTCGGGGACAAGTGGCTCGACGAGTACATGGACGAAAGCTCCAAGCTTTGGGAAGCCTGCCATGTCCTTAAGTCCGCCGTCTCCGCTATGGAGAATTACTACACTTCCGGCCTCAACATCACCTCCACCCTCGACTCCCACCGCCATCTCACTCCCCAGCTCTCTCGCCAGGTGGGTTTTTCAATTTGATCACAAATTCTCAATCTTTAACTTGCTTGATACGTTTGACTGATTCGTTGTGGTATTTCGTCGAACAGGTGGTGCGCGCGATTTCTGGGTGTCGGCGAGAGGCGTTCGGATTGGAGGAGGAGAACAGGGGGCTGATGGAAACGAGAATCCAGCCGCTGTCGCTCAAATTCGACGAAAGGGTCTCCATCGAATCGAAGCTCAATGGGTTCAATGGGTTCAGGGGAGTCCTGTACGCAATGAGGAACGTGAGCTCGCTGCTACTCATGATCTTGCTGTACGGACTGGTGTTCTGCTTGCCGGAGGAGGAGTCGAGCTTCTGCAGGGGAGGGTACAACGAGGGGTGCATGATCTTCGGATCATCGTTCATGATATCGACGGCGAGGCTGCAGCAGAGGGTGGCGGCGGAGATCGGGCAGATCAGAGAGAGGCCGGGGGTTCTGATGTGGGAGTTCAGGAGGTCGAAGGGGGCGATGGAGGAGCTGAGGGGGGAGCTGGAGAGGGGGGGCCCACAGGGGGTGGTGGAGTGGGAGGTTGACGGCGGCGGGATTAGGGAGGGAGTGGACAACTTGAAAGCGTGTTTTGGGGTGCTGAGATCTGGTGCGGAGAATATTGCGAGCCAACTTGATGATTTCATTGATGAAATTGTTGAGGGGAGGAAGAAGCTTTTGGACTTTTGCAGTCATAGGTGAAAAATAAAAAAGTAAAACAATATTACAGAGTAGAGAGAGAGGTAATTAGTTATTGGGTTTTATTTGTACCTTTTTAACCCTTCTTCTTACTTCTGTTTGTATTTTTTATTACCACCTTTCTTTTCTCTCGCGCATTCTCCATCTTTGTTCTAGTAGTTACTACTTATCCGCCCACAATCAAGTTTGATTTTTCGTTCCGTAATTTAGACTTGACGTAGCGTTGACTCATCGACAGGTAGTTACTGGTTGAATCCATGAAGAGGGGTTTTATTTTTTTATTTTTTTATTTTTTTTAAGCTATAAAACAGCTCAAATTTAAAAATAAAATAAATAAATAATGCAATTATGGGTGCAAGATCTTCCAAGTTGATTTAAAAAAAAACACAAATGTAGAAGAAAAAGTAAAAGTTAAAAAAAGGGTTGGGTGAACAAAGATAGGGAAAAAATGGAATGGAAGCTTCTTGTTACTCTATCTTTACACTTGGTGGCACAATCAAAATCCTCCATTAATTTATTAACTTCTTCAAAATATTTAATTTATTAATGAACCAATATTTAATTATCTTGGATTTGGATAATTTTTTATTTTAATTAAGCAACAATCCAATCCAGATTACGAAAACAAAAATTCGCACATATGCACTAACAACTGCTTTGCTTAGTTTGGATACGACTATGGTTACCATCAAGTACAATTTGATTACGACCAAGTCTGCGCTACCAAAGTTTTGGTTATGATTATTCTTATTTTGAAAAGGTTTTCCTCTTGCCTCTAATTGGGGTTTTTCATGGTGAATCTCTTGTAGGAGAGAGAGAGAGAGTGAGTTGAGTTGTTATAGTAAATGAGTCATGATTCTAGTTGTGAAAGAATGATGAAAAAGGTGAGGGTTGAGACTGTAGCAGTCTCTTCTATGTAGGGAAGAAGAAGCACCACTCATGAATGAAGATTCCTGGATTTGCTTTTATGTCAAAAAAAGCCAACTTCTTTTCATCTTAGAAGGAAGCTTTTGTCTAATTTTTCCCTTCCCTTTCAAAGCAATGGTCTTGATCATCACCAAACCCTATCTCTTCCCCCCTCACATGTATTTCGGTCAATCACGTAATGAGAGTGATAGAGACTTCATTATATAAAATCAGCTTTTCTTCTCCATTTTTTAGGTTTCGGAGAAAATCTTATCACGTATCTTTTAATCACCATAAAAAATTTCTTGTTATCAACTAGTCACATAAGGAATCCATTAGTCATTTTACGAGAGACATAGTAAGTTTTCTTTAGTAGTCCGGACGGTTGAGTAACTTGAAAAATGAACAGTGAAGATTGATGGCAAGAAACTAAACCGTAAGGTTGTTTAAATAGTCAAACTACCAAATTCAGAGGTAGATGTATAATAATCTAAACCGGTCACGTATATAATTTTACTCTTTCTTCCCCCTTCTTTGGGGGTTTTGGGTTTGGGTTTTTGGAAGAAAATATTATTAAAATAAGGAGGGGGGAGAAAATTTGGGGTCACTTTCTTTGCTTGTCAACCGTATCCCATGCTTTCTAGCTTTTATCCCTGCCGGAAATTCATGCCTTGCCTCCCTCCAAGGGATCTATAGCAGCGTCCAATATAAGCAAAACTAATATAATATTCCTCAGATCCAAGAACTATAAGACAACAAAACATATTAATTTAAGAGAAATGTTAAAGGGACCGTTCTCAGTGGAACTATTCATGGACTTTGTACAGGTGGATTCAAGATTTGAACTTTGGAATTTCAGTGTTAAATACAAGTTTTTTAGATAGGAATAGCACGCGAAATGCGTAAAAAAAAAAAAAACAATTTATTCACATGGAAGACTTATTATGCACATGTCAATATATATTGACATATGCCGAAATAATATAATGAGTAATATAGAGAACTTTTTGAGCTTTGGCCCAACATTTTGAGATATAACTAACATATATTACATCAAGCATTTAGAAGAAACAAAAAGGACCAGTACTAAAATTCAAAGAGTCATCGGAAGACCTTCACATGTATATTTTTCGGATCTGGGAGATCCTGAAACCACCTTAGTCCCTACTTCTATTGTGCAAAAAATATAAGGTGACATAAAATTCATGAAAAACCTCACTTTTAAGAGTGCCTCCTTGATATTTCTCTTATTTTAATAAATAGGAAAAATAGTAAAATTAGAAGAGAAAAAAAAAGAAAATTTTGAAATAGGTCCAATTTTTAGTGACTTTTGACTTTTGAAATAAGTTCAATTTTTAATTACTTTAGATCCATATCAAAAGACCCCAAAAAAAGCAGAACACCAATGCCGAAAACAACATAAAGAAGCACTTTTGGCAGAAGCAGAAGCAAGCACCTCTGAGTTTCTCTGACCCAACAAGACATTATCATCCTTAAAGCAGCAAACAGCGGCTTACATTCATAACCACCACCAAACAAAAAACCACACCATCAATTATTATGATTCCTTCTTTTTCTAAATAAAAGAAGGAAAAAAAAAAAAAGGAAGAAAAAAGTGCAGCGTGAGAGATTTTTCAGCTTCTTTCAGTGGAGGTAAAGTTTAATAAATTCCGACAAATGTAGTCTCCGGCTCTGCTGCACTAAAGAGTAAATGCACTTGAGCTTTTTGTTGCATCCATCAACCTCTGCAATAGCTAAAGCTTCATTTGTTAAGAGAGGAACTTGGATGGTAAGAGTACACCGCCACAGTAGAGCCCCTCATACACAGTGTGACATTGTAGCATCAGTCATGAACACCACTAAGAGCAACGTACATAGAATATAGAATAGATTCACTATCACAATGATATCTCGGTCTAATAATACAATACATTTTAAACCAAAAATCACGTGATATGGCTTGCTCCTCTTCTAAATAGTTAACACAGAGGAAAAAGCCGAGTCCAAAAGTGGAATTGACAACCACCCAGATGAAGTGTATCTGATGACAGATGGCCAAAAGAAACAGGCATAACTCTGTTCATTGCAGTTTTCATGATTCCGGCCTTATCTAGAATCCAGATCAACATCATAGGCGAGAGAGAGAGAGAGAGAGAGATGGTTTGGTATTGCTGTGATTATAATCTCATTTTTGCTGTTTCATGTTTTCAGTTTTTTTCCACCCAAAAGTGTAAAAATAAGCAGAGAGAGAGAGAGAGAGAGAGAGAGAGAGAGAGAGAGAGAGAGAGAGAGAGAGAGAGAGATGGTTTGGTATTGCTGTGATTTGAAGAAAAAAAAAATTGCTTCAGCTATGTTGTGAGAATAATCTTATTTTTACTGCTTTTCAGTTTTTTTTTCACTCAAAAGTGCGAAAATAAGCAGTTTTTAAATGTTTACCAAACACCTTTTTGAACTTAGTGTTTTTTGATACCCACTTTTTATAAAAGAACCTCAGTACCAAACCAGTACATAGGCCAACCTAATAAATTTAGTTAATTACACCTTCACCAAAAGAAGAAGGTTAATAATTTTACTTCCTGTGATAATATACAAAACAACCAAGACATAGTGAGGGCAGGAATTTCAATGTGGCAGTGACTGGTTGTGAAAATTTGGCAAACATATTTCTCTAATTTACAAGAGATCAATTGGAGGCAAAGAAATAAGAATTGTAGGTTTACCAAGAAGTCAAGATGGTAAGCCACAAGTTAATGTATCAATCATATCCTGGCATTTCAAACTGGGATGCAAATGTTTCGACCCGATTTCTGAGCTCGTAAATATCTTTGCTGTTCTTGAGATCTTTGATAAAATCTTTCTGGAATTTTCCATATTCCCTCTGTATGGAAACAGTGATCTGAGCAGCCCTGAGAAGAAAGTCTGCAATTGTTTCAAAATCCGACTCCACGCAACCTCGTGTACTCATAGCAGGAGTTCCTGCAAAGACGAACAAAGAAAGGAGAGCTTAGCATCCATTATGATACAATGACATAAGAGCAAGAAAATATAATTTGAGAAAGGAAAACCGTTGAGCAAAGCTGCGTTACGGAATCATGCCACCATGAAATTTAAAAAGAATTAGAATACTAACTATACATTGCGAGGAAGGCAGAAAGAAAAAGAAACCATAGAATGCAATTTCAGAATACTGAAGATAAAATTCAAATGCCAAAGACAACTCACCGATTCTCACTCCTCCAGGAGAAAAAGCACCATTATCACCAAATATATATGTGGCACATCTCACAGACCTTTTCGTAATTCCTCGCTGTATCAATAAGATTGTGAATGGGAAAGGGGTTATAGAAGAACAGTCGCACACTTGGATATGTGCAAATGGAAGATGCTTATTGAACTACTGAAACGATAAGACCTCCAACCATCATTCACTAAAGGTTGTACCCAGTGCACAAGGCTCCCGCTTTACGCAGGGTCTGGGAGAGGTGAATGTCGGCTAGCCTTACCCCCATTTATGGAGAGGCTGCTCCCAAGTCTCGAACCCGAGACCTACCGCTCATGGGCGAAGGCACTTGCCATAGCACCAAGTGCGACCTCTTCCAACCATCATTCACTATTGGGAACAAATTAGCTACACCATTGCTCCTTCTACAGCTATCACTCATAATAATCAGAAATGTACAGCAAATGCAGGTAAGACCATTTCCCCTAAACTTTATTGCAAACTATCGTCTAGGGTCAGCAATTGATCAAATGACTTGCCCTATTTTCTAAAAGGTAAGCTGTCAGGTTGGTGTTTCCAACTTTCCATCCCGGTAACTTCCATTTTTCTCGTTCAACACTACCAATGACCAAAATTTCACAACTAATTAGGGGTGGGCATTGAGTGGTTCGGTTTGGGTTGAGCCTCAAGGCCCTCAACCGCTAGCTGGCCAACTAGGCTCAGGTAGGCATTTCAACAAACCATTTTTCACTCAATAAAATAGGTAACCAACCCACCCGACCCAATGCTAGGCGGGTTGGGTTGGGCGGGTTTCGGGTTGAGCTTCATGCAAGCCTAAGAAACAAATTGTTATATGTCTATAAGCCTAAAAAACAACCAAATAAAAAATGTCACGAAAAATGAATTGACCAATGGAAATGAAAGCATCAACTAGACAAAAAAATTGTATATGGGCGAATTGGTTATCATCGGGCTCACCAAATTTAAAACCGCAAAACACATGGATTGAGTGCACGGGTGGGTTTTCACCCAAAATTTAATTTTCTGAAATTATATCTGACCCAACCCAATCCATGTTGGCTGCATTGGTCGGTTGAGCCGTCAATATGCCCACCCCTACTACTATGAGAAGACATATTTCCTTTCTTCAATCTAATCAGCTCTCTTTTACTTACAAAGGTTTATCATGACATGCTTAAACTAGATGTGAGACACAAACCATCATGAAACTCAACAGGTAAACTGTGCAGTTACTCTACCAATACCTAAAACTTCATAATCCATTCTGTGACTGTTGGGATGGTTAATATTATAATACCTGTTAAACCAAGAGCAGTCAAATCCCAAAGCAACAAGTGATTGTCGGTGCCCCCAGTAACCAATCTGCATTTTCTTCTTAACAGAGCATTAGCTAAGGCCTGGGCATTCTTCTTCACCTGTTGCATATATGCTTTATATTCTGGAGTAGCTGCTTGTTTTAAGGCTATGGCAAGAGCAGCAATATGGTTGTTGTGTGGCCCTCCTTGTAGTGATGGGAAAATGGCAAAGTTTATCTTTTCCTCAAAATCGTAATGGTTATTGCCATCCCCATTAGTATGATGTTTGCCTTGCTTCCCTAATTTTGGGCCTTTCCTAGAAAAAATAATACCTCCCCTAGGACCCTGAAGACTTTTGTGTGTTGTTGACGTAACAATATCACAGTAATCAAAAGGACTTGCACATCCCTGCAGTAAAGAATAGCCAATAAGTAAGAACACATAATGCATGTTCATTATCTTTCACATGGGAAAGGCATGGAAGAAAAAGACTAGTCAAATGTACAAAATTACACCAAGTTCCAGATAACCAAATAACGTTACTAATGATTCTTAGGCACAAAACAGATAATCCATACAAAGGAACATCTTACCTCTTGCTAACAATGTATAACAAATCAATATTTGAAGGCTAAAAAAAAAAGGGGATCTCCACCCTGCAAAGAGATTTGTGCTATTACAATATGTCAATATATCAGCTAGAACACTCACGAAATGTGATAATTAATAACACAAGATAACATCAAGATGAAGAAGGCAGAAGAGTATACAAATGAGACACTAGGAACCAAGAACCAAGTAACGGTTAGATGTGAGGTGCTTGATTTTTGCACTGTCTCCATTGTGTTATAAAATTGTAAAGGGGGTGGAAAAGCGTTTTCCAATTCAAATCTAATCTAATGATGGTAACCCTCTCACATTGCAGCTTACATCATACTTCCTCAGAAACAGAAATCTATCACCCATAAAAAAAAACCTGCAATTATATTTATTGTACATCAAAATAATCCCAAAGACCACTTTACTGGAACATGGCAAATCTAAAACCTATTTGCATTAACTGTCCAGTTCCAACTTCCAATACATTATAGGCATTGATTGGGTAACTCATAAACTCAAGGTTTATTGATGGTAGAGGTGAATGATTATTCAATTTGAGGGGAATAGACATAAAAGAAGTTCATCCCTTCTAATCATACCACTTTGGGGGGATTGGAATGAATATGTTTCCTTCATTTAAGTTGAACACAATTATTTTATATAAGTTGGACACAATTATTTTATTTCTTCCCTTCAACGTACCTTGAATATAGTGGGTATACCAATCCAATCCTAGATACCCAATCAAGTCCATATGTTTAAGTTGATGCATTTGTATCTGGTTATAGTATATTTAAACCGTTCAAATAGCATTTGGTAGCGAGCAAATAGGACATGTTATGATAACTTGAGGGATCAATTATTTGTTTTCCCTTCTTCGTTGTGAACAAAAATGTAAGAATGGCTCAATCACTCTGACCCTGGTTGAAAACTTTTTCAGCCTATTTCCGAGCATTAAAACTATTTAAGGTTTTCTACATTGCCAAGTACTAGGCACACAATCGCCCTCTCATACAACAAACAGTGTACAACTTAGGAAATAGCTCTCAAGAAATTATAAAAGCATCTATCATGTACAGAATAGGTTAACTAGTTCCGCAACTACACAAAACAAAACAAAAGTTGGGATATCAAATTTCAAACCTTAGCTGCCGTAAGACCGCTGATATGAGCCATGTCACACATCAACACAGCTCTGCATTTATCCGCAATGTGCCCAAATCTGGCATAGTCCCACTCCCGAGGGTATGAACTCGCAAATAAGTATCGTAATCAATGTACCCTGTTTGTGGGTTCACCTTATACGGCAGACTCTCAAAGAAAATCGAGGAGGCCGAGACCTTCTTCCCACTAGGAGTATAATACCCATGACTCATGTGCCCTCCGGAAGGCGAGTCCAACCCCATAAACTGATCATTTGGGAGCAAAAGCCCGGTGTAGACTGCGAAATTTGCAGAGGTACAAGAGTAAGGCTGGAGTCTGGACATTAACACCCCATTTCTCCGAATCCAGACCAAAAGCGGCCAATGCACGCTCGCAACAGAGCAATTCAATCTGATCAATGTGCTGATTGCCCGTGTAATATCTCGCTCCGGGAAAACCCTCCGAGTACTTGCTCGTCAAGTGGCTTCCCAGAGTTTCCATCACTGCCCTGCATATAAAATTCTCGGAAGCGATCAATTCAATCCCATTGTATTGGCGACGCCTCTCCTTCTCCATAATTTCATGGATCTCGGGATCCGAAACCGCGAGCGGTAGGTTCCCCCAAGACCGAACCGCCTGAAGCCCCCGGATTCAACCGCCAAACACTTCGACGGGTTCGGAGCAAATCCGGACTCATCCCTCGGTCTCTTCGGGCAAATCGAGTGCCGCAAGAGGTTGAATTTCTGGTCTCCATCGCAATCGTCTCCGTTGTCGGGACTGATTTTCTCTTCCTTTATGGCGGTATACGATATGGGTTCGCAAAACTGGCTCCATTAGCGGATTGTTAGGCATACAAATTTGATTTGACTGGTGAACTTGACTGACAAACTGACAAACTTGACTGATAAATTGGTTCCGATTCAGGCATGCTGATTGTGCCGGCAAACTGATTTAGGTTCAGGTTACTGTTGAGAGTATGAAAATAACCCATCTAAACGAATGAGATTTCCATATTTCAATTATTTCAATTGTAGTAACAAACAGTAAGAAGCAAACAGCTACTACCACTCGAGTGGTCATAAGTTCAAGCACTCGAGTGACAATCACAAAACAATTTCAAATAGGTCAACAACTCGTGTAGGCCTCAAAACCAACCAAGCCCAACAATAGCTTCAATCAACAAGGGCCAAATAAGGCCTTCAAACAAATCACAACAGCCCAATAGATTGTGGGCTCCAAACCCAATTTTTTTTTTTTTTTCTATTTTCTTTTCCTATTCCCTATTTTCTCTTTCTTCTTTTTTATTTCTAAATCAACCATAGCATTCCTTATTCTCCAGTGCGACATGGATGATGGGTGCAGTAGCAGCAGTAGTTACTTTAAGTAGAGGGGTTCAATACATGAAAGATGGCAGTGAGTACAGACCTGGGTGCGGATAGCAGAAGCAATGCGGAGCAACAACGACAGTGGATGCAGAAGATGGAGAATGTAGTAGTGGGTTTGAGAAGATGGTGGCGTGGTGGTTCAAGCAGGCGAGGTGCAAATTCAGTCGGATTTGCAGCAGGTGGTTCCAGTGGCAGAGTGGTGGTGATCTGATGAGGAAATGATGGCAGGTACGGTTCAAGCAGATGCGAGTGCAGGCTGGTCAATCTTCAGACTTTAGGCGTCTGCTCTGGTGCGACGTGGCTAGCGGCGGACATCACAATTTTTTTTTTCAATTTAAAACAAAAGCCTAACGACAGCAAACAGACACTACGAGCATGCATATTAAATCCCAAATGATGAAACCTGTTCTGATATCAAGTTGAATAACGATCAAAGTAACTATAAACTAATATGATTTTATTAACTTAAAAGAAAGATTGTCATGACGGCTACATAACCCAAGAGACTACATTGTGTCTAACTAGTTATTCATGTTAAACTATAAGCTATATTTATAGAGAGCAAAACCTAAAAACCAGTGGCAAAGCGAGGATTTGCCGAGGGGAGGGGCGAAATTCAAAAGAGTGCAAGGTTCAATCGAAGCGGTTGCTTGCACATTGGAGAGTGCAAAGTTTTGAGTTAATATTCATAGCAGAAAATAATCTCTCCACCAAAACGGTTGTAAGCAATAATATCAAAGTCAATGTAAGAAACTTAAATTGGCTAGGATTAGATCGTAAAAAATGTTAGGCGCTAGCCAAACAGTGGACTGAGACCTAGCAGTTAGGTGCTTATGTGAGATCTAGGCAGGAGCCTAGATAAATTTAAATTATCGTAAAATAAGCATTAAACAATATTTATATTGTTTTTAAAAAGTAATACAATATTTATAAATAATGTGAAAGTTTAAGATAAATATGGTGGGAGTCTTAAAAGAGAAGATAAAAATATCCAATTTTTATTGACTTAGGTGGCCCAATAATCGTCCAACACCTGTCTTTAAAACTCACACCTAAATTCTTGCTATCTTGATAACCGGATCTAGATCCTCTCCCGATCATTCACTGCGGATCCACGTGGACCAATTCATTCTAGCCCTTGATTTAAATCTCACGGCCTAGTAATAATTTTCACTTTTTAATTTCCTTGACTATTTCGCGCAAAACGAAGTCTTTTTTCTTTTACCATATGCATCTTCTTCGTTCTTTCCTCTTTAAGCTATCCATTCCCGATGAAAAAAATGAAGCAACAATCACAAAACAAATCTGGTGGGGAGGTATCAAAAGAATTAGATGGATTTAAGAGGCCTTGTCCCACTCTCGCTCTCTTTTGCCCAATCTCTTTCTCTATTTGCAAGTTTTTCCCTCAATTTAGTCTTCCGTCATCGGAATAGACGCCTATCTTCTTCCTCCCTTCCCTGTGCCAGCCGCTCTGTTAATCCCAACCTCATCCCTCCAACCTCTCTTCTCTGTCTTTGTCATTCTTCTGCAAATCCAACCAAACTATCGCCCTTCCTCTGCAAATTCAACCAAGATAGTGCATCGGCCAAAACTAATTTTTACAGATGCCATGAATTCTGATGAGAATGGAGGGGCTGAACCAGCGCTCATAGGTGTGTTTTCTGGCAAAAGGAGGAGCGGCCGCCACTCTTCGCCGTCACGTAAGTTCGCCATTGCTAAAAACCCTAAATCGGATAGGCTAGGCCCATTTACTAACTAACAAGAAAACTCAAATAATCATAAAATACTAATATTTTCCAACACTAGAACCAAAATTTCTCACCAAAAATGTCAAATTTTGAAAAATTAAGGGCTAAAATTGAAAAATAAAAATCTTGAGGGTCTCATAAGAGATTAAGGATTTTTTAGGTGTAGAAGCAACAATAGTAGCAGTGGCCGCTGCTGTGGCGGAAGAATGGTGATCCTGTGGAAGTTGTTGATGAAGAAGTAGAGTTCTCCATGCACAAACTCTAGAAACTGCCGGAGATTTAGCGAGTTCTGGTGTAGAGAGAGGGGAGAGAAAGATAAGAGAATTAGGCCATTTGCGTATATATTGGAAATGGAGTGGTGAATGGAGCGTAAGAGATGACGAGGATGAACCTGGATGGGTTTGGGGTTAACCGGCGATCGGTAATAAGCGGTAGCGTTGGGTTTTGTTTCGGTAACGAAGACACGTGGGGTGGGACTTCTGGATGTTGGTCCACCTAGATGAGTTGATGTCTAGGTTCGGGTAGAAGAGATTTGGCGGGCTTTACCACATCTACCATGATGGTGGGGCCGACACCTCAGGTTGAGGTGCTATGATGCAAGAAGATTTTAATATTTTGAAGATGTGAAAAACGAAGGTTGGATGGAGGTGTTCTTTATTGAGGAGTGATTCCAACCGTCAACTGTCTGAGTTGATAAAGTGGTTTGTTCATCAAGCCGAAAAGAAAGCCATATATATTGACGTTCGGATAGGTGGGATCTTATATGAAAGAAGGTTGGAAAAAGAAAATTTGCACCTAAAGTTGCTATTGTGCAAAAAATAAAAAAATAAAAAAAATTATAGAGTTGACATGTGAAATTTTATTAATGAAAAACGAGAATACTCTTATTAAATTGGTGAAGTTTCCATTTAATCCACACGTAATCAACATCTCTAGAGGCATGACAACAGACTATAATCTCATCAAGCTCCCCTATTCGCGGCAAGGAGAAAAATAAAATGTGTTGATGAACAAAATCAGTGAAGATTTTGGAACAACGTAAAGTGTCAAGTTTGTGACATTCGCTCGGTTGCTCCAGTCATTAGTGAGGATAAATATGTAAAGAGATAGAGGTAGGCAAGCAAACACAAGATGTACGTAGTTCACCCTAAGTTTGGCTACGTCCATGGAGCATTAGAGTTCTCATTAATAGTGAAGGGTTTACACAAATGCATAGTTTCAAACATAATCATCCTTAGTGAGTTCTAATGACTAGTTTAAGTACAGTAATGACATCCCCCCTTAATTGTAGGAGAATTGTCTTCTTTTATAGTTGAGGAGAGTCTCTGGCTTTCGTCCGTGGTTGATGTGGGACTCTAGGAGCTTTATTATGACGTTGACACGTGTCGTATTATAATTGACCTCCTGGGTGGAGGGAAACTCTTGTGCTTCGACAAGGGTGCCTCAGCATAAACTCTTCAATGGGTCATTGAAGATATGAAGTTGACCGGTGCTTGGTAGTTTCAAGATTGGTCAAATATGGTACAAATAGTGCTCCCCTAAGTTCCCGAGTGAGGAAAGCTTCTTGGTTGGGGACTTGAAAAATTCAAGTCACTGAGTAATCACAAAACTTCTGAGTATTGAAGTGTAGTAGCATATAGCGGGAGTCCCCCAAGTTTCCAAGCGAAGAGGATAGCCGAAGGAGATGGCTTGATATTCTTGAGTCAATAGAAAAAAGACTTCAAAAATTCTCTCCTTCTTTTATTTTTTTATTTTTTATTTTTTTAATGTAGCCCAAGTATATATATTTTTTCTTAAACCCAATTCCTTCTTCTTTTTTTTTTTTTTTTGGTGAGAAAAGGAAATGTGGTTGAAGCCTTTTCCTTTTTGTACATACCTTAAATGGTTGAAGCTTTTTCCTTTGGGCACATAGCTTGAGTGATTGAAGCTTTGTAGGTGAAGCCTTTTGGTTGAAACTTTGTAGGTGAAGCTTTGTAGGTGAGGCTTTTTGGTTGAAGCTTTGTAGGTGAAGCTTTTTGGTTGGGGCTTTGTAGGTGAAGTTTTTTGGTTGAGGCTTTTTAGGTGAAGCTTTGTAGGTGAGGCTTTGTAGGTGAGGGTTTTTGGTTGAAGATTTGTAGGTGAAGCTTTTCGGTTGAAACTTTGTAGGTGAAACTTTTTGGTTGAAGCTTTGTAGGTGAAGCCTTTTGGTTGAAGCTTTGTAGTAGGTGGGTTTAGAAAAATGAAAACCGAAAAAAACCAGACCGAGGTCGAAAAAAACCGAATCGAAACTATCAAACCGAACTGAATCTAGTTGGTTTGGTTTCGGTTTTTGAGGTTCGAAAACCGAACCGAACCGAAATATATTTAATTATAAAAACACAAAAAAAAAAAAAATTATAGCCAAGGAGGTTCGAACCCCTTCCCCCTTCATTGAGTGCGTTTCCCTTAAACCATTTTGATTGCAGGTTGTTTCTTGCTAATACCATTATCAGTAGCATATTTATACAAATTAATTCCCATCTACCCAGTAGACTAACTC